TTGTTTAACTTTAAGTCTTTAAGACCCCAGATGCTATATCTTGTAATAGCCGGGCACCATCAGCCTCGCCACATTAGCTTATGCACACATGTTATCTTCAGTGATCGTGTTGGGAAGGTGAGCATCACAGAATGCCAACATATTAGAACAAAGTGTTCTTGCATTGAGGGAGGACTTGAGTAGAGGCCCAATGTCTGCCTGCTACCTTAATACCTAACCTATAAATATATGTACACAGACCTATATCCCTATCGTTATATATTAATATATTTACATATGTGTGTGCCTATGTTTGTACCTCGACAAATGTCTTTTGCCTGCTAGTTTTTTCTTGTATTTTCTTTTACTTTCCTCCTCTTCCAGTATCATGTTTGACCTCCATTTGGCTCTGTACTTCCTCTCAGCTACATTGAACTTGATTGAACCCCATCAGGCATTCCATGCCCTCCTGGCCATCGATTTTAGATCTCTTGTTGTTCCCTTGTCTCTGGGTTTGGTGGTTCCCCCGGCTTTTTCTTCCTTGGTACCGTCGGGTGAGTTTGAACTGCCAACCTTTAGTTAGCAGTCCAGAGAAAACGGTTTGAATGTCCCAGGGCTCTTCAATGGCCAGCTTCTCCTGTGAACCAGAGGCATTTTGTACATCTGTTACCAAAAGGTGCTGAGCTGAGCCTGAGGCAAGAAGAAAACCCGATTTTACTGATGCTGCTTTTATTTAAACTCCTGCTATTTTGTTTACTGTGTTTTTATTTAGCATTAGTTTTAACTATTTAAGATATTGCATCAGAAAATGTGTATCTCATCAACGGACCTTGAAAGTATTATGCTGAGTGTAATAAGCCAGTCACAAAAAAACCCCCAAATACTGTACAAGAACAAGCAAGTGAATAGAGATCACTTTGAAGTACTGAGGTACATGAATGTCACTTTGAGGGCTAATGTGCGACTGATCCAAGCCAATCGCCTCACATGCGTGTGGAAGTTGGACAGGGAATAAAGCAGACCGAGGAAGAATCGATGCGTTTGAATGATGCTGCTGGCGAAGAATCTTGACGTTCCACAGACTGCCTGAAGAACGAGCCAGTCTGTCTGGGAAGAAAGGTGGCCAGAATGCTCCTTGGAAGAGAGAACAGGTGAGACTTCATCTCACGTCCTTGGGACACGCTATCAGGAGAGAGCAGACTCAGGAGAAGGACATCGCGCTTGGTACAGGGGAAGGGCAGTGAGAAAGAGTGGCTGCAATGATGGGCTCAAGCATCACAATTAGGAGGGTGGCACAAGACTGGGCAGTGTTTTATCCGGTAGACGTGGACCACTGTGAGTCAGACCCACTTCCACCCGTGGAACACTAACAACAACAGAGACCACACACAGGTCGTTCGTGGTGAGCAGGGGCAGGCAGGGAGATGGGGAGAGGAGGACTCAGGGCTGAGGGGTGCTTTTCTGGCTGATGGCTGAACAACTTGATGACCATGACCGGATGTGTGAGCACCATTGGTTTATTTTAAAATCTTCTTGTTTCTAAAAAACGAGAAAACAAACAAAATCACTATGTATCATGATTACTGATTTCTTTGGCAGCCCCCCCCTTAAATGTTATTCCTAAAGTGGGCTTTTCTCTTACCTCACCAGTTGGGCCCGATAAAGTCTGAGAACTGCCTAGTGCCACCCACAGGATCAGAGCCCAACACCTGCATTCAGGTGAGCCAGCACCTCTCAACCTCACCAACAGTGGGCCAGAGGGTCTCATATAATCTGGGTTTCAGTGCAGACACCCCAACTTCAGTCAACCTGGCAGTGACCTGATTGGCCGGCCTCGTGGGACTTGTCGCTCTTCTAGGCCATCAGATCCCCCCTCCCCTCCTAAAGCTCACGAGAGGCTTTCTTCTCTGTAAAGCCTGCACCTCCAAGCTAAGGTCTGTTTCAATGTAAACCATCAAGTCAATGCCAACTTCTAGCGACCCCAACAGGGCAAAGTAGGACTCCCTGCCTCAGAGGGATTCCATGGGTGTAAATTTGTGTGGGAGCAGGCTGCTTCAGAGTGCCTGGTGTGTTTAAAACAACCATCTTTGCGTGGCAGCCCAGTGCTTTAACCACTGCAACACCAGGGTTTCTCAAAGCAAAGTAAACCCAACATAAACCCACTGTCATCAAGTCGATTCTATAGGGCAGACTGTACATCTTTATGTAACCAGAGAGCCTTAGCTTTCTCCCACGGGGCAACTGGTGGGTCTGAATGGACATCTTTGTGGCGAGCTGCCCAATCCTTAACCCATGGTGCCACCAGGGCTCCCTGGGGGGCTGGGGGTGGGTAGGGCTCTATAAGTATTTCATGAAGAACAAGAGTGGATGGCTACCAGTCCCTTGTCAGTGCTGGTCAGCTCACACTGGTCAGCTTACTTAACTCTCACAGAACCTGGGGAGGTAGGTTCTATTATTGTCCCCGTGTTATAAGCGGAGAAATGGAGACATAGAGAAATTATGTCATTTGCTAAAGGGCCTACAGGTCGTAAGTAGAGAAGCTGAGATTTGAACCAGGGCAGGGTCTCTCAGCCTCAGGACCAGTGACATTTCGAGGCGAAGAGGGTTTGGTTGGGAGGGGGGGAGGGGAGAGTGCGAATGGATTGAATTGTATTAACTGTATTCTCTAACCTCTAACCACAAGGATGCCATCCCCTTTGGGAATCGAGTGTTCTTTGATTTGTTAGAGAGACCATTGTCAAGGGTTGGCGGTGGTGTGTGTGTGTGTGTGTGGTGTTTCAATGACTTTTCGGAGGGCTTCAAAAGTGCATGGAAATGTCTCACTATCTTTTAATTCACTTTTTCACAAATTGCGCGGCACCGTGGTTACACTTTGGGCTGTCATCTGCAAGGTCAGCGGTTGGAAACCACCAGCAGCTCCCAGGGAGGAAGACCAGCCTGTCCCTTTC